AACTTGATTATATTGGAAACATTGATTTTTTAGCTGAAGTATGCGTGTCCCTTTTTATAAGATGGAAAATTGCTGCTTCATTTTGAGGCATTTTGTTATTCCTAACTTAGATGGGTATATGCTGTATTCTATGCCAAATTTTAGGTCTTTTAACAGAGAACATCAGGATTCAAAAAGAAGATATCTTGGCTGATTTCTTAAAGAGCTTAACAGGTGGCCATCCAGGTAAACAGCTTCTAAATATTGATTGCCTCGAATTAGTTTAGACCTTGACTTCTAACTATCTAGTAGCATTCTGTTACCGTGCAGAGACAATGGTGGGAGTGCAAGTCAAAGCATGTAGACAAAGTTTAATTTTTCAAGGTATTGAAGACTACCATCTAATTTGCCATTCTTATTAGTAAAATTGTTTAACATTTCAGTTTTGTTGGAGCAGATTGGCTAATTTTATGAACTATTTGAAATGGATGCACATATTGGAGCAAAAGAACTGGATTTGCAATACATGAATGTACTAGTTGATCTGATTCTTTTAATTGCTAAGTGCTAGCTGCAACATGTTGAGTTTCTATGTTGGTCCTTGTTTTTCCGTTGAATTATTATATCGGATATTTTTTCTTTAGTATTTCTTGTTGATGTTTAGGATAGAAAAAATGAAGGAGAAGCAATTCTGTTATAATTTTCCACTGCTATTCTTTTTGCCTGTTAAAAGAGAGATTTATTGCAAATTCATCCATGCTATTTATTTCCATTTCCACCTTCAAATTAGTACTTGATGCCAGCTCACATTTTCAGGGGGAGCAAACTCATTGTGGATTTCCAGAGAGGAACTTCTCTGTGAAGAACACTTTAAAATATGCTCCCTTTGATCAATTAGATTGCATGTTGTACAAATTACTGTCAAAGGAAATTGACCATCCTAAGCTTCTTTTTTCCAGATTGAGGATGACTCTGAGTGCAGTGCATTCTGTTGTTTATTGGCTGAGCTAAGGCCAGTAGAAATTATAAAACCTGCTCAAAATCTCAATCCTGAAACTGAGAGAGCATTGCTAAGGCATACAAGAAATCCCTTAGTGAATGAGTTGATTCCATCTGTGGAATTCTGGGATGCAGAAAAAACTATTTGTGAAGTCAAAACCATCTACAGGCGCATTACTGACGGATCAGCTTCAGGACCTGTGAATGACATGGGTTCTGATGCTATTAAATCTCATGGGGGAGAAGATGCATCAGACTTCCTCCCAGATGTTCTTTCCAAGCTACTGAGTGCAGGCAACAGTGGCAGCTTAGCACTTTCAGCTCTTGGTGGCACTCTTTATTATTTAAGACAGGCTTTTTTAGATGAGACATTGCTTAAATTTGCAAAGTTTGAATCACTTCCGTGCTCTGATTTCAGTAATATAGCTCAAAAACCATACATGGTTCTTGATGCTGCTGCTCTGGAGAACCTTGAAATCTTTGAGAACAGCAGAAATGGAGACTCCTCTGGGTAAGCATGCACATTCTTGTAAACATTTAAATCCAGTATTGGTCTAACATTGTTTTAAGTAAATTTTTTTGTTTGTGAAGGACACTATATGCACAATTAAATCATTGTGTGACAGCAGTTGGAAAAAGATTGCTTAAAACATGGCTTGCAAGACCTTTGTACCACACAGGGTTGATCAAGGAACGCCAAGATGCTCTAGCAGGCCTAAAGGTGTGTTTCTTAGTAATGCTCTTCAATCATCATTTATCCCATGTCTAATTCTTGAAAAGCCTTGAAAGTTATTTTCTAATTTGTTAGGCTTATATGGTAAAAGTCTGTTCTCAAGTGGTTTAGCAACTCTTTGGTAATTTTTACTTAATATATCCTGTGTACCAGGGTGAAAACTTGTCATATGCACTAGAATTTCGGAAGGCATTAACTAGGCTTCCTGATATGGAGCGGTTGCTCGCACGCATCTTTGCTAGCAGGTAATCTTTAGATGATGTATAAATGTATATGCTATTGTTTGTAAATTCTACCAAAGGGCATTATTTCATTTAAATTCTTTAAATTCTTTCCCCCCTTTTTTTTTTGGTATGAATGCAGTGAAGCTAATGGAAGAAATGCAAATAAAGTAGTTTTGTATGAAGATGCTGCAAAGAAGCAACTCCAAGAGTTCATATCAGCTCTGCGTGGCTGTGAATTAATGGCTCAAGCATGTTCTTCACTTGGTGTCATTTTGGAAAATGTGGAGTCTAGGCAGCTGCATCATCTGCTAGCTCTTGGTATTATTGGCTCTGATGTTATTGTTACTAGTTCTCTGATATTGTTTAGCATCTTTTGTTTTACCCACCTGCAGGTAAAGGTCTTCCTGATATCCATTCAATTCTTAAACACTTCAAGGATGCATTTGATTGGGTTGATGCAAACAAATCTGGACGTATAATACCTCATGAAGGAGTTGATATGGAGTATGACACTGCCTGTAGAACCGTTAAGGAGATTGAATCTAGTTTGACAAAATACCTCAAGGAACAGCGGAAACTGCTTGCAAATTCATCAGTAAGAATTTTGTCCACAAAGGCTTTGGCATTTCAATCTCTTAGTGCATCCCAGCCTATTCCCAGTAAGGATTAACTTGCTACTTTGTTACCTCATTTGTTACAGATCACTTATGTCACAGTTGGAAAAGAAGCATACCTATTAGAAGTACCAGAAAGCTTGCGAGGAAGCATTTCTCGGGATTATGAGTTACGTTCATCCAAAAAGGTCATATCACTGATGAATCGATGTTTTCATTAGGTCATGCTCTTCGGGGATGATCTAAGACATTTGGACCAATCAAATACAGATATGTTGAAAACATTAGGAATAATCACAGTAAAGTTATGTGAGCTTTATTACTGGTTATTGCTTTATAACTCTGTGTCAGCAATTCTTGTGAGTTGATACTATGTTTCCTGCTTTTAGCATTCTTTAAGTCATTTGCTTTGTACCTTTTAAGAATTGTGGTGAAAAGTTACTCAAATTTAAGATGTGTCATCGAACTTTGTGATTTGTTTCTCAAGTTGTCTTCCCATTAGTCATACTACTTATTCGACTACAGAGCCTTGTCTTAAGAAATATCTTTTGCCATGGTTGATAGCTTTCAAGAGTAATTTAATAGCGATTTCTTTAGCATTACTTTTGACTTGATTTTAGTTTCACTTTTGTGTGACATATGCAGGGCTTTTTTCGATACTGGACTCCATATATTAAGAAGTTGTTAGGAGAGCTGTCACAAGCTGAATCTGAAAAGGAGACAGCTTTGAAGAGCATTTTGCAGAGGTTAATTGGACGCTTCTGTGAGCATCATAATAAATGGAGACAGTTGGTGTCAGTTACTTCAGGTATGTATACTGTAATAAATTATACATCATATGGTTCCATTTATCCTGGATAGCTGAAGTTGGCTATTGCATGTTGCAGAACTGGATGTATTAATCAGTCTGGCAATTGCAAGTGATTTTTATGAAGGACCATCATGCAGTCCAGTTGTTGTAGACTCATCATGTTCAAATAACGTGCCGTGTTTCTCTGCGAAATGCTTAGGACACCCTATCCTTAGAAGTGATTCTTTAGGCAAGGGTGCCTTTGTCCCCAATGATATTAATATTGGTGGTTCTGATCATGCAAGTTTTATCCTTCTTACTGGTCCTAATATGGGTGGAAAGTCAACCCTTCTCCGCCAAGTTTGCTTGGCTGTGATTTTGGCTCAGGTAAGGTTTTGACTTTTGTTATTGTGAATTATTAATTTTGCCTCATTTTCTTCAGTAAACACAGTTGGCCCTCCATAGGTGGGAGCAGATGTCCCTGCAGAAAGCTTTAAGCTGTCCCCTGTTGACCGAATCTTTGTCCGGATGGGAGCAAAAGATCATATAATGGCAGGCCAGAGTACATTTTTAACAGAGCTTTCAGAAACTGCATTAATGCTGGTAATTTCTCTCAATTTGCATGTAAACACTCTCTTAAGTTGTAAAATGTAAATGTCTTTCCTTTCTGTCAATATTGTTCCCTATCTCTTGAATGATTACAGAGCAATTGCTGAGAGTAAACTAGCCAAAAGTTTCCACTGAGATCTTTACAAAATCTAAGTATACATTTAAACTAAGTCAAACAAACATCATAATGAAGAAAATTGCATTGGCTGCAATATCATATATAAAATAGAAAGAAATTGGTTGTCTTTTCACCTGGTCCAAGTTCCATTCAAGAGTTGTGAAGCATTAAAGTTTTTCCTGCTTAATGTTTTACGTCATTTATCCTTTCTTTTAACTTGTGATGGTTGATGCAGTCCTCAGCAACTTGTAATTCATTGGTGGCATTGGATGAACTTGGACGTGGAACATCAACCTCAGATGGACAAGCCATTGCGTTGGTTCTCCTACCAATTTCTCTTTTCCTAAATTATTTGCATGATAGTTTTTGCTGATCCCATTTTCTTGTTTAACAAATTTTATTGGCAGAGAATCAGTTCTTGAACATTTTGTTCACAAGGTGAATTGTCGAGGAATGTTTTCAACTCATTATCACCGTTTAGCTGTGGACTATCAGAAAGATTCCAAGGTATGTGTACTTCCGTTTGGTACTGTTTTGAGGCTGAAGCATGCATTATTTTCTAGTGATATTATATTGCATAATTTGCATATTGAACTTTTGGTTGGCAATATGATGACCATATAGTCATTCATACGCGTTACTTACCACAGAAGGCTTCCAAATTTCATCCAAAAGTTTAATTTGTTTTTTATTTCTCTTTCCTGTTCTTACAGGTCTCTCTCTGCCATATGGGATGCCAAGTTGGAAATGGTGTTGAAGGTGTGGAAGAGGTTACATTTCTCTACAGGTTGACCCCTGGTGCCTGCCCCAAAAGCTACGGCGTCAATGTTGCACGACTGGCTGGTACACTTCTTTGCTATTACAACCTCACAGTCCATTGACTGCATGTATCAGCCCTAGAAGAAGTAAAACTGGAAAAACTATTTGGCAGAAATTCTTAGAAGTAAATATTTTGTAAACTAGTTTTACAAGACCAGTATTGGAGTGAAAATTTGCGTGCATCTCATCAAAAAATTGATGTGTCAATCAAATAATAGATTCTGTGAATGAAGAACCTGGCATGTGTTTCTCTGATAAACTCCAAAACTCACTGTTTAAAACATTTCAGGAATACCTGACTTGGTACTTCAGACTGCTGCGGCCAAATCCAAAGAGTTTGAGGCTGCGTATGGTAGTAAGAGGAAGCGATCTGAAAACAACTTGCCAATACAAAGTCGTGCTAATAAGATGGCAGTTCTCATTCAAGAGTTGACTAATATCACAACAAAAATGAGTTCCTTCAACTCTTTTAAGGGCATCGATGTCAGACCATTGACTGATCTTCAACAGAAAGCAAGACTGCTTCTGAAGCAACATTGAAGGAATTTCCACTTGTATATCACTTCACACGGCTATATTTTTACCGTTGCTGAGGTATGTTGAGGATTTCTTTGGATTGGTGGAGCGTTAGAATTCCTTTTTTCACCATTGGAGCCAACTGCTTGAAAATTTTCAAATTGTCCAGAGATGTGGGCTGAAGTGTCCCTGTCATCCGACCTTTGCCCAGCAAGCAACATTGGTAAATCAACGTTATCAAATTCTAAAACAATTGTAAATTGTAAGTCTACCCTTTCTGTATAGTGTAATTATTTTAAATCATTTTCAATCCAGATTGTCAAGAGATGGGTTTTGTTTTTTCAACAACAATGGAATAGTTGTATCATTATGTTTACAATCATTTTAGCATGATATTAAATAAAATATGATATAATATTAAATAAATAAATAAATAAATATAATATTATATATAAATTTTAAATAAAAAAATTAATTATATAACAACATTGTGGTATTATAATATTTTTTTATTTTAAACGTGAGATATTTACGGAACTTGTGAAGGGGCAGTTACGCCGAGTCACCGATACTGTAAAATGCTGTCGGCTGCCCATCTAACTTGTTTTGAAAGGAAATGCTCCATGGTTAGCATTCTAGAACACATACTGCTAAAAAATATTAAGGAACACATGCAAACCATGCCTCCTAGCTCCAAAGTCCTAACCTAACCAGATTCCCCAAGTATCCATGGTTGCGGGCAAAACGATGTGCCTTACCTACGGCGCAGACAATCTAGATCCTGCTGATGAATTTTCCGTTTTACCCCTCGAAGGAAATTGGAATTTCCTAGAGTTTTTGGCCTTTTCGCATATCAAGCAAACCAACCGAACCCGTTTTCTTCATATAATCTTAGGGTTAAAATTCCCCGAATTGATCCTTTCCTGTAATGCGACGGCAGCCTTGAATTTGACCTTCTGGTTCTCCTCTAATACTTAGATCTTTCCCCAGTTCGAGCTCGATCCGATCGTATTGAGAAACCCTACAAGTTTAAGCCATGTTTCTTTTCGATTGGTTTTATGGAATTCTTGCTTCCCTTGGTCTGTGGCAGAAGGAAGCGAAGATCTTGTTTCTGGGTCTTGATAATGCCGGCAAGACCACCTTGCTCCATATGTTGAAGGATGAGGTTCGTTTTCAATTTCATCTTTATCTGTGTTTATTTGATTTTTTTTCGCAGTTGGGTTTAATTGTTGTGATCGATTTGCTCGGTTTTTATCTAACCTGAATGAAATTCTGGATCCGTAAAATCTTGTTTCATCGTTTATGACTCGTAAAACCCAGAAATCCCCTCTTAATTGGACCTGATTTGTGAGCTGATTTTCATCATTTGAGTTAGGAAAAGATGAAACTGATGAACATAACTGACTAAGTCCACCCCCCCCCCCCCCCCCGCTGCATTCTACCTTGTCAAAAAGGTTGCATGAATATAAATAATAACCGCGGAGGTAATTCAGCTCTTGGTTTGGGACATTGATCATTGGTGAACTGTTTGCAGAGGTTGGTGCAACACCAGCCAACTCAGTATCCGACATCAGAGGAGCTTAGTATAGGGAAAATTAAGTTCAAGGCATTTGATTTGGGAGGTCATCAGATTGCACGCAGAGTCTGGAAGGATTACTATGCCAAGGTAAAGTAAAAAATAAAGCTTTTTTTTTCTCTCATGATCCCTTTGTTCTAATTACAACCTTTTCATTGTTGTGTTAATCACTCATATATTTGTCTGCATATTTTTTATTATTTTGAGTATCTCAAGCTGTAGAGATACCAAATTTTGTTGCTTTCTGAGTTTGATGTCCGATTGGTTAAATTTTGCCTCATATTTGACAGCATGCATTTTAAATTAAGCCTTCAGGTTGACACTTGTAGATCTCATATGCAGACCACAATTTTGAAATCTTTTCGAAGGGGGTTTTAAAGTGTTAATTGGTTTATTTGGTTAGGTTTGTAATATGGCCAAATTTACAATTGTGCGTGCAGAATTGTTTAATTGAGATATGATCACATCTTGCACAATGCCTTAGATAGGCGTAAGATGATATCTTACCATTGTTGCATCCACTTTCCTTGAAACATGCTGCTCCAGTTATAGTTGATTTTCATGCAAAAATAAGAATTGTCCAACGTAAGGAAAGGGGGCAACCTTTCTGCTTTCTGCATGCTCTGAAAAAGTATTTTATGTAACGTTTCATTTTATGTTTTACATATCATCAAATCTTTTATCTGTTTTTGTTTTTCGTTATAAAGAGTCTTTGTATTAGTTTCATTTAGAGGGTAAAAAAAAAAGAAACTTTTTTCCTCTTCTTCTTTTTCTTCTGATAAAGACTTGTTTCTTGTCAATTTAGATGGGGGCAGGGAAGGAGTGGTGGATTTGTACCCTAGTCAGCATTTGAAATAGAGTTGGGTTTATGTGGTGCTCTCAATCACCTATTCATACATTGAACTTATCTGCCTTTCACCATTTCTCAATTCAATTGTTATTTTCTGTAATAAATTTGAATTTTCTGTTTATTGGTTTGTCAGTGTTGCTCGATAGTTTGTTTTTGGTTATCTTTGCTAGTAAATACTTCCAATCTGTAATTTCCTGTTCTCAGGTGGATGCAGTTGTGTACCTGGTGGATGCCTATGATAAGGAGAGGTTTGCTGAATCAAAGAAAGAATTGGATGCACTCCTTTCTGATGAGGCTCTTGCCAACGTCCCATTTCTTATACTAGGAAACAAGATTGATATACCATATGCTGCCTCAGAGGATGAGTTACGTTATCACCTTGGCCTGACCAACTTCACAACTGGTAAGGGGAAGGTAAATCTGGCAGACTCAAACGTCCGTCCACTAGAAGTATTCATGTGCAGCATTGTTAGAAAAATGGGATATGGTGATGGCTTCAAGTGGCTGTCTCAATACATCAAGTAAACTAATGATGAGGAAGATGTGTCAAGACAGACATGTTACGGAGCGAAATTCGACCTCACCATGCTCTTCCCCACCAAGAATTGTATTCATGGGACTATTTTGAACCGCCTTAAGTGGGTTTTGAGTTGAATGTCTTTCGTTTTGGATATATATGTGGAAGGAGGTGTTAAAATGTCACTAGGCTGCCAAATCTGCTTATTTCAGACTGTCTCTGGTATTGTAGGTTGTGGAATGAACTTTCTCCATCTCTTGCTTATTCAAGCTCTTAAATATTATTGATTTTATGCCTACTTTTTATGGAGTTTTTTCCTCCATGCCAACTTCATTCCTAACTAAAACATTGTTATTATGTATCTCTGATCTCAAGGGCTTGCCAATTCTAATATGATAATGCTTCACAAGAAACTAGTGATGAAATTAATAATAATTTTTGTATTTTTAAATATTAATTAATATGAAAAGGTTACCACAATAATTACAAGCACATATTAGAAAAGTTATTTATTTAAAAATCTTCAAGTGGCTTCCTATGTGTAGAATTTGGGTGGGGGTGTACTATTTACTTTGTTGAAAGCAAGAAGAAAGAATTTTCTTAATAATCCTCTCTTTTCTCAAGGTCGATTTCCTTACGAATGACAAAAAAAACGTTCGTTTAAAATTAAAATTTATGCCTATAGACGATTTGTAAGAGGAAGGAATGCCTCTTACAGAGTGGATTATTAAATTTGCCTTGAATAACTTCAACGACTTAAACACTACCATAGATTTAAGTTAATAGATCCTAATAAAACTATACAAAATGCAAACTAACATAAACTTGCAAGAACAAAATGTTCTCAAATTAAATTAAGTATGTTTATTATCAAATTAAATTGTTATTTGCAAACAAATCTAAAAATTAAATTACTACAGAATTAGAGATCTAAGATTAAACTAATATGCTTGAAATTGAGAATAAGTGTGAATGCCATATAAATAATTATTTGATGAAATGTTACTTATCATAAATATTAAACTAATGCCAGCCAGAAAAAGAACAATACTTTATAGAAATTCAAAAGCTTGATATTCATTACATGAAACAAAATTGCTTAAGCAAATACATGAACTAATTTGGCTACTAGAATGATGAAGATTGGGAATTGTGCTAAAAACCAAAATCTATAAGCTAAAGTGAACAATCATTGAGAAACTAAAAGTCTGAAAGTTTGTCAAGTTATGTGCAGGGTAGGCCATGTGTTGAATGATGAAAAATTTTCCTTTTGTTTTCCTCTTCCCCTCTTACAACTCCTTGCAATTATTTGATCATGGGCAATTTCCTGAAGAAGTTGGACATTTGAGCAGCTGACTGAGTCAAAATTCCATCCATATTTTGCCACTTGTCTCATTATCAGTCAGCTTACATTCTTAACTAAAACCAACTCTTAAAAACCAGCTGAAATAATCTCAGCATAACTCAAATAGGCAACCAAAAATTAAAATCTTATCTTTTCGGCTCTTTTTTTCTTATGTGGCACATAATTTGTTACGAGATTCAGAATTGCATATCTAATATGGTTAAATCACCTCTATCCATTAAAAATATTTGACACTTGACCTAATTTTAAATTTTTATAATTTATGGTGTAAACAGAAGTCTTATGTTAATTAGTTAGATCTTAAAGAGAAGATTAAAGTCTGGTCACCACTATCTGGCTTTCGTGGCCACGCTTCTCATCAAGAAGCAAAGTGGGGGTACCCTGGAGATATGCGCAGTTCGAGTCTCAAGTTTGATACTTCCTCATTTCCTTAAAAACAGATATTAACTATATTAATGTAATTTTTATTATAAAAAAAGAAAAAAACGAAGAGAAGTTTAAAGTCTTCATAAAAAAGAATAAATAAAAAAAAATTAAAGGGGCGTTGAATTGTTACACCAAAGACAAATACCAAAGACAAATGCAAATGAAGTGTAACCCAGTCGTACACCACATCTTTAAAACATGCAACCACCGTTCAAAGACGTCGAGACCCCAGCAGCAGCCAGTAGGCCCACTACCCCATGCCTAAACCCAGCGTCTCAGTCACGCCCTCCCTCAAAGCCTCAAAAGAGTATCCGCGTTTTTACCACCAATTCTCAACCTGCGTCACATCTGCTTTCCACCATCTTTCGTTTCGTCCATCCCTTCAACTTCAACATTTGACGCTTGACTCTTTCTCCATCCTCATCTCCTATATATAGCATGCACCCACATATCTTCTTCATCCATACCCATTACTTTCGTAACACTCTCTACTCACTACTCTCTTTTTTGTAGACTGCAATTCGGACCAATTCAACTGAGAATACTTGGAATAATCACATTCAAATATGGGAAATTCAGTCTCTTCTTGTTTCATTCCGCAATTGAATTCTAAAAAGAAAGCCAGAGTTATTGACGCTGAAGGAAATCTGAGGCGGGTTAAGCTCCCTGCAAAAGCGGGGGAGCTCATGGTGGAGGAACCAGGCCACGTCGTCTCTATGGTGGACCAGCTCCGGGTGACGAGACGCGTGTCCGCCGTGCGGGCTGACGATGAGCTTTTGGCCGGAAAGGTTTACATGTTGGTTCCAATTTGCAGGGTGAATTGCAGAGTTACGGAAGCGGAGATGGAGAGGATAGAAGCTGCCTGCTCTGAGAAGAAGAGGAAGGAAATGTCGCGGAAAAAGAGAAGGGGTGGTAAGGTTTCACCAGCTGTGACGGGGCCGGAGGAATTCAGGAAGGAAGAAGATAGTAGAAATGAAGTTTTGCGGACAAAGATAGAAATTCCCTGTTATCGAAAGCGGCGGAATTACGCCGCGGCGCCGTGGAGTCCGGGATTGGAGACAATTTCTGAAAAGTGAT